ACGCTCAGAGACTCCGACTATTTGTTCATTCTTTGACCGGCGCGGCGTTCTCATGGTTCATAAACCTTCCGCCGAACTCAATAAGGGATTGGTCTGATATGGAAAGGGTGTTCCACGAACATTTTTACCAGACCAACCGAGAAATAACGGTCGCCAAGTTGGCAAGAATGAGCCTAGCATCGGACGAATCACCTCGCGATTACCTACAACGGTTCAAAACATGTAGGAATTGGTGCCGCACGAACCTACCAGAGAGGGAGTTCGTCAAGATGGCCGAGGAAGGATTGGAATTCGAATACCGGAAGAAATTCTAGGGAATCGAATTTTGGAACATGCATGACTTGACCAACAAGGTGGACAGATATGCGTCCTTGTTGAAAGAGGAGATGCAGAAGAAGACGGCCTCAAAGGGGACCTACTACAGGAATCCCATCGTCAGTTACGCCGAAGCAGACGGCTCCGCAGAGGCCGAAGGCGATGAGGTCGAGATGAGTTCGGCCGAAGTCAGCATAGACAAACCTTTCGTTTGCAGAGGGCTTGTTAAAACTGACAATAGCCGCACAAAGGTCCCTGACGCCAAGTTCGCGACGCGGGAAACGAAGGCCTACACTTTTGATTTAACAAGGTCCGAGGCTATCTTCGACCTGTTGGTGGCCGAGAAGAAGGTAAAATTGTCTTTCGGCCATAAGACTCCGAAGCCCGAAGAACTCAAGGGGAAAACGTTTTGCAAGTACCACAGTTCTTGGTCTCATAACACCCACAACTGTGTTGTCTTGCGAGACGTTATCCAGAAATTGATAGACAAGAAGAAGCTTCAGTTTCCGGAGAAGGCGGCCATGCAGGTCGACTCCAAGCCATTCCCTCCACCTGTCGTTAACATGGTCGACGCCCAACTCCCGGCCGGGGATGGAGGAGTTCGCAGTTCGGCAAAAGGAAAGGAGCCTTTGGCCGAACTTGAGCCGGCCCTTTGCGAACGATGCAAGTGTGAGATCGGTCAGCCCAGGCCG